TTCTATACGTTTTTCCTGTTTGTCTTTGTGCCTCACAGTGGGAATGACCATCAAAAATGATACAAGCAAGTGCAGTATGGTCTTAAACCCCTCATTTTTACCTACCCAAATATTTTAATCTTGCCAAACTCATCCATTTCACTTCCTGTGTAAGCAAGACAAAGCAATTCAAAGGAAAGGAGTGAGGGTTCTTAAGTTTGAATTTTTTTTTCCCCCACATACCGACTGTCTCCCACTGATGTAGGGTGCCCCAAAAAAGAAGAAACACTTTTACCATCACTCGCTCTAGTTTGGATTATCAACATCTCCACACTATCACGAAGGAAGCAGGAAAAACCAAGAAAGTATATGTAATTTATGTAGGGCATGAGTTGGGCCTGAAAATATTTAATGCACAAGTAAAGATTTAACTTTAAGGGAGAGAAAAGTTATTATACAAACATCTTTCAATCATTCATTTAAGTGACAGGAATTTTCCTAATACCTGGGTATCAGCATCTAATTTTCCTAGCCAGACTGGTAAAAGGTTGAGAAATTTTAACAATTTATGCTCTAGAATCAATAAAACTGTTCTTGCAATCTTTATGTATGAGCATTGGCCTCCATTTACCATATTCATTTCTGTCACTTTTCAATCAGTGTTGATACTAATTTTGATTTACTGAATACAGTCAAAATAACTAGAAGATGCTTCAGCTGGAGTTCCTGCTCTTACCTCTTCCTCATACATTTTGCTGACCTAGGTTTTGTTTACATGTCAGGTCACTTGTGACTAAGTTTTCCCAGAAGAGAAAATCAACAAGTGTATCTCATACTATTTACAATATGAAGTATAGCACTGTACATATATAAGCCATGAAATAAGAGCAGTAAGCTGTTGTAAGAAATGAGTTAGTATAACTCCCATTACTCTCGTGTATGATATTGGAAAAACTGTATACAATTTAAAGGAAAAAAAAATTGTGCTGAAGCTTTTGATACCTTTAGGAATTTATGTAGGCCTGCAAACTATGATGTTCACAATTTTTTATATAAATGGTTTTGCCATTTATATAAATGGACCAAGCCAAGTGTTTTCACAAACTCCTCTAGCTTGAAATAAAGCTTTAACAGAAATAGGAAATGCCACTGTAGTCATCAAGTGAAATCTATTGGTAAAAAGGCATCTGAAAATTATATTGCTGCTAATAAATATTTTTCTGTAGATAAATAAATTTAGACTTTTACTGAAAAAGTAAATTATCTCTTGAATAAATATGTACTACTATAGTCTAAAGAGACAGATATTCTCTTGCTTGTAGCAATAAGAATCAGTGGCTGGGGGTGAAAGAATCTATGGGAATATTAACAGTTTAAATGTGTACTAATGCAGCTACAATACAACACATTCTTCGAAATGGCAAAAGTAATAATCTCCACGAACACTCAAGTGTAAAAATGTTGCCAGGGCATTATTAAGCATACAAGGTAACTTTGATTTTTCAAGAGCCAACTTTCAATGGCTTATAAAATATTGTGTTATTGAGGAGCATTGCAGAACAGGCAGGCTCCCTACAACTGCAAGCTTTTGCTACTGGTTTATAATTACTACTACTCCACCTGCTGACTAATTGGATTAAAGAGCAATTAAGAGTAACTGATGAACGTTACAGTAAATTCTTTTCCCTATCTACAGTTTAATATGTTAAGTTTCAGCTTGTCTATATTGACAGTGCTTGACTGTAATCCACTGAAAGACCCAAAGTACTGGAATTTGTGCTGCTTTCACATAATGAAGGGGTGTGTGTTAACAAATGTGTTGGATCATATAATTTGTAATTTTTTAAACAGACTGATTGTGAAGGATGTGTGTGCAATGACTCGTGAAATCATAACACAACTGTAAACAAATCACAGAACAGGTGGGGCTCGAACCCATCGCAGTCAGGTTGCACTAGTTAGTGTGATACAAGGTTCAGTGACATCTATTTGCAAAAATGGAAATGAGATTTCACTTAGGCAAATAAAAACTTAAAGCAGATGTTCATTAGAAAACATTATTTTTTTTGTTTGATTAACTTCAGTTTCTGCAGTTTAATTCTGGCATTTGGACATTTAGAGAGGACAGAACAAAATACAATGACAAAGGGTTAATAAATCTGAAGTGGAGGAAAAGAGACTGTCCGAAAAGCTTGGACATCCAACAGGCATGTGTGAGCATGTTAGATAGGAGGAAGTGGAGGCAATTGATTTTTATGACTAAGTGCTGTTTGTTTGAGTGTGAGCAAGGTAATATTTATGTAGGATTTCAGGAAAACTGGTTAGATGGACCGAGTCCTGGAGATGGGAAGTACAGTGCTTGCACTCTGAGGGGTGGGAATATCTGAACTGTAATGCTGGCAAGTCTCTACCAAGACAGTGATCAAGTGAATGAGTGTTTCTTCTTTGGATCACCCCACTTTGATGAGAAACTGCTGGTTGCAGTGAAAAAATGCAACTAATCAGTGTTGTCACACATGTAAATGTGCAATACATACTGGAAAATTAACATTGAAATGCTCTTGATTAAACTGAGAATATTTCAATGTGTATTAAATTTTTATTATTCTTAAAAGTGATAACTTTAGATATAATTAGTGTAAATCATTATAGAAGCAGAATACTTTCAGCAATTTTGACAATACAAAAGTCACTAAACGTAACATAACTGTAGTAATACATTACAGTAACCAGAACTTGGATTATATCAGCAGTAATAATCAGGAAGCCATGTGTGTCATAAGAGGCGACTGAAATGCTGGGAGCAAGGGGCTAGTAACCCCTTCTCCTGTATAATTTACTAACTCTAAAAAGAAAAATTTGGGTGACCCATAAAAGAAAAACCTGTATTTTTCTTTTTGGGTCACCCTACCATCATGGGATACAATTGGTGTGTCAAAAAAGAAAATGTTTAAACAAGTTTCAATGTAATATGGCTAATTAAGATAAAGAAATCTGAAAAATCTACAAACTTCAAGTATTTAATCCCATGGTAATAATTTTCCCCACCAATAAGTGGGGATCTTGGAGTTCAAAGGGTCATTTGAATTGTGATGCCTGCACACTTATGCAAAAATGGCTATTGAATTAGTGATGGTGAAGGAGTCTCCTCCTTTAAGTAACATTACCTTGGTGGGAAATAACTCAAGTGTTAACAAAAGTATTTTTTTTTTTTAAACACACTGGCCATCCCTCACCAAGGCAAGATGGCCCATAAAAGAAACATTCACAAGTTTTTCTTTTTACATTTAGTAATTTATACAAGATTATTATGGGGGAGCTCTAAACCTGTAGGAATTGTACAACAAATTATACAGGAGAAGGGGTTGCTAGCCCCTTGTTCCCGGCATTTTAGTTGCCTCTTACAACACGCGTGGTTTACAGAGGAAGGATTCTGTTAAGCACATGACTTTTGTATTATGGTTGTTTCCTAATATTAATCTGTAAATTAGAACTTAGTAGTGAATACAAGAGTAACTTGCAGTCCTCTTATCTTTTTCACATTAGTAGGTCCCCCACCCAAAAGATGCTTTAAATTGAGCTATTCAAAGTTTCAGGTATGAAAGCTTCTAAATTTAGTTGACAAGTCCTTCATTTTACAGTATCTCCAAAGATGTCATTTATAAGCAGTAACCAGAAGTAGCTACAATTGATTTAGAAATGCACATATGTAACTTATTTTTATTTATAAGCGAGTGAAAATTTTCTGAGACTAGAGGATAATACAATATGGATTAACATATTTTGTAGAACTTTGTCACCTATGTTCATGGACTGTATATGCTTCATTGTAAATCTATACTATGATGCACAGTCATAAAATGAGTTACTGTAGCTTCATATTTGATACTATAGTAATCTTAAAATGTTAAATCTACTGATAAAATTATCATGCCAGGACATCAATTTCAATTACTAGTTACTGTTTGATATAGTATGAATCAGCTCTCAGGATACAAAATGAACACCATTGATAGTTATAATAAATCAATATTGTTCACATTACAACCTGAGCCATTCCATTCAACATAATCTTAAATGCTCTTGGTTTAAACTCAGTGGGAGAGTTGCATACTGTATTATACTAAAGATACATTGATGCCTTAAGAAAATACTCTCCTGTAATACAGTTAAAATATTCTACTCAAACAGCAAATTATTTTTAGCATATTTTTCCTGCAACTATTGAAAAGCCAAATACATATATAGTATAGTTCAGATACAGGTACTTTAAAACTATAAGAGATGACAAGATTTTACAACCTAGTCCTAAATTGTTTGAGAAGATCAACCTTATGCTGTTAAGCAAACAAATACACGTAACATTACAAGGAACTATACTATTTGGGTATTTTTCAAGACAGTATTGTAGTTTATACAGTTTCATTTATTCTTACCGTACATGCAGTTTCAAAATCCCACATTCATAAGACTGGTAATAATTACTGTTCACCAAGCAAAACTACACAGACAATCATGTGCAGTAGCACTACTACAGCCCCAATAGGATGAATGGAAGGCTGAATGTTCCACATCTGAGGCTTACTGCAAGCTGGGTTAGTGCACCCCTACCTGGCTGAAACACCATTGGTCAACTGTGATGTCTCACTCTGTCACTTTGCCTTCGCTCTGTCTTCAGGAAGAATACCAGTAATGCCAGTCTTTATGCCCTTCTTTTCTTCCTCGGTCAATTTTAAGAACTCTCCAAGTGAATCCGTTTCATTAGCCATATCCAAATCATCAAAGTCCTGAAAAAAAATTTGAGAAATAAAGTAATACTGTAATGTTACACATTCCATCCATTAAATATGAATACTTAGTGTACAACTGCTTCAAGGTTAATGAATAAAATACATCTCAGAGTTGCTAAGGATTCATCATTAGTCCCAGAGTAAAAATGACAGAATAATGTAGGATAATGCTCTACTCTTGTAAAAAAAATAAACAAAAAGCTAAGCTAAATATTACACTATGTAGTAAGCGTTTTCCAATCATTTTCCCCAACATGACTCACGAAATCGTAATGACACGATTGCAATCGTGTCATTACGATTTCGTGAGTCATGTTGACGGAAGCGAGGGGACTTGAGCTAGAGTTCGTCACGGCCACACTAGCTGGAGATTCGTCTGTAAAAACTTGCATTTAGGGTCACAGTGGTGCCTATGCTAACCTTCCTATGATGTAGAAATATACCTAGTTGGACGAATCTTATTGTGGCTAGTTGGTCCAGTGGCTAACGCAACGGTCTGGAGTTTTCAGACTCTCTGACCGTGGGTTCAAATCCCGCCCATGGTATGGTTCATTTTCCCCAGTTTGCATAACTGTTTTGATAAAGGGAATATTTTTTCTGTAAGAACTGATATCTACAGTCAACATGCTAGGTTCAGCTTTATAGTAAATACATTAGTTCTTTTACATTAATATAGTTTACAGTCTTATACAGTAATAAAATTTATGGTAAATACAATTTTCCTATTAATAGGGTTGATTTAAACAAATGGTAAGGATCACAGCACAATACTCTTACATAAAATTACATTGAAGAAATGTTATCCTGAGACCAACTGCAGAAAACTGAATAGTATTGGTAAATATCAGCATTTATGATATTAATTATATTTATATAGCAAAGAAACAGCAAATATACATTATCAAAATAACTGAATCAATTTTTTTTATACACACATGTATATATTTCACATTAATTATACACGTCACAAACTTACTCCACAGTACTCAGCCTCATTGAAAATCTGCGGTGTCATGGGAACCCTGTTGTGTCCTTTTGGCTTTGCATTCTCATTCATGTAATGTTTTGCATCTTCTTGACCAGGGTCGGTGATATCTATGGCGATGAATGGGATGTTCTTACTTTCAAGGATCATAACAGCGCGCTGTTGGCTTTTTTCAACCTGAAATGATAAAAAGAACTTTAAATTCTAACCTTTGAATGTAATCTACACTTTTATTTTTTGGTTTCAGGTCAAATGATTGTTGTACCAGGATTATTAAATCTGAAATATAACTAGTTACTATCAAGTATATTACCCTATAATCAACAGAATAGGTAGGAGTTAAATTGAGTGTACAGTACATATCTCAACCTAGATCATGAAGAAAATTATAGTACAGTACTTTAATTGTACCGAGATGGCTATGCAGACCTCAGACCACTGGTAGCAACAGCCTGATTTACCAGGCACTCAACGAGGAAACCTGTCCTTAAGGCAGGCTGGAAGGATAACATAAGAACATAAGAAAGGAAGAACACTGCAGGAGGCCTGTTGGCCCATACTATGCAGGTCCTTCACAAATCCATCCCACTAATAGAATATTTGCCCTCATAAGAACATAAGATCATAAGAACTAAGGAACAGTGCAACAGGTCCACTGGTCCATGCGAGGCAGCTCCAATTCTCCCCACTGGCTTAAGCCAATGCCTTGACCTAGCGAGGTCAGACACATGACTGCGTCCGACCTAGTAGCTAGTCAGGTCCATTTCACACCCACTCATAAGAACATAAGAACACAAGAAAGAAGGAATGCCGCAGCAGGCCTACTGACCCACACAAAGCAGGTCCATGTGTCCCCCCCAGATTAGCCCAATGACCCACCTATTCAGGTCACTTCCACTTAAGGAAGGAGCACAGAATCAGACCTAGTAGCACATAACCCTTAAACCTGGTCAAGGGTTATCCTTGTTGTTCAGGCTGATTTTTGGAGAGTTGTTGCAACAACGAAACTTACATTCTGTTAAACTGATCTATACTTTATAAGTCAAGATAAGAGGCTGCTTAAAAAAAAAAAGTACACCCTATACATAGAAGAGAGGCTGACCAGAGAGGTAACTATAGGGGGGAATGAAGGACTGAAGATGGGAGGGATGGGGTTTAGGAAATGGGGGAGGGGGTAGGAGTGCTGAAGAGTTAAAGTTACAATAGGCGGGGTGCCAAGTGATGCTGTCCCCCCCAATCCCACAGCATATAGTGTGAAGGTGACACCTTTCCCCCTTTCCCCCCACTGTCACTTGGACTTCCAAACAGGACAAAGCTAGTACCTACCTAGTGATGGCACCAGCTGGTGAATCCTTTGTATCATTTCAAGTTGTTTGAAGTTAGCCTTCACTTAATATTGCATCTCATGATATATGAAACTACCCGACACTGGACTGTCATGTGGCGACCCACTCAGTGATGTCATTACCCCTATGGTAAGCTCATAATGTAGCATCTGCTTGCATGCACTGCCTTAGATAATAAGGTCTACTAACATAGCTAAAACTAAGGTAGCCAGTGGCATGCCTCAGTGATCGTTGGCTCACCAGTGGGACCTACTCGTCTGTGCAGCCACAGTATTAAGGCGGAAAGATGTTAACCTAGTTAACAACTCAATGTGGAACTTAAAATTGTCTTGAGTACCTTGGGAGATTATCATCCCCCATATGGCTTGCTTTCTGACCTGACATCTTGGTTAACTACCTGATCAATAAAGCAGTTCACAACACATCGGTAATACTGACAAGTATGTGAATGAGGCTCTGTATGGTATACAATACTGGCAAGATGAAGAATTAGACACTTGCAGGATCTGGGTATCTTTATTGTAGATGTTTTGCCATCCAGTGGCTTTATCAATACAAATTCAATTACATAATTGGAAGGTAGTAGAACTATATACAAAAGATGAGGTAATCAGTCCCTCAGCCTTGGAGTTGGTGTGAAGAGCATGACTAGGGTGCTCTTCACACCAACTCCAAGGCTGAGGGACTGATTACCTCATCTTTTGTATATAGTTCTGTCTTCAAATTATGTCCTAAAATCTTACTGAAATTCACTGGATAGCGAAAAGTCCACAATAAAGATGCCCAGATGTTGCACGTGTCTCGGTTTTCATCTTGTCGGTATTGTATACCATCCTTGTACAAAGATGAGGTAATCAGTCCCTCAGGTTGAGGGAATGATTACTTCAAACTCCTCTCCTTACCCCTCTCTGATTTGTATTGGACTGAAAAAGCAACTATATGGCAAAACGTTTCCTTAATAAAGAGTCCCATATGTTGCTTAAGTGTCTCAATCTTCAACTCGTCAGTTTTCAAAACCATTTCACATTGTATACCCTACCTGGAGTCTACCTGGAGTCTACCCGGACAGCATTCCGCGGCCCGATCCACGACCAGGCCTCCAGGTGGATCAGGGCCTAATCAACCAGGCTGTTACTGCTGGCCGCACGTAGTCCAATGTACGAAGCACACCCTGACTGCTTTGGCACCGACTTTAAAAAGAAAAAAAAAAGGGGGAGGGGGCTTAGGAACCCAAGATCAGTGTTGTACCTATGTTTGCACATTTGACCATATCTATCTTATACAGTAAATAACTATTGCATTACTCCAATAGTACAAAGAAAATGTGGGGATGTATAAGTAAAATTGAATTACTCATAAAGGTACACAAAATTATTTATGAAACATTATACTAACCATTATTGTTTGTAGTCTTATTAATAGATGGATCCTGTGTGGCAGTCACTGCAATAGTACTGTGATTATCTTCTAGAGTTTCCTTGATGTCTCTCTTGCAATGAACTTGATTGTCTATTTCTTTTCTGGTATTTGAAGGACCACTATGAGCAGCTTGAATGGCCTTTTCAATCTGTGCATTACAATGTGTTTGACTATGAACAGATGATGATCTTGGAGGGTTTAAAATAGTTTGGTTCAATGTATTTGTCAGTGGGTTCTCTTTAGATGGGCAAACTTGTGATGGAACTTCACTTTCAGTTGCTTCCAGTAAAGAAGATTCCTCTGGAATTGAAGCCATGCTTAGCAGATTGATTGTGCTATTTTTCACAGCAAGTGTGTTAGACAGAAGCCTTGGTACTTTAAAAATGCCACTGTTTATATTTTCACTCGTGTGCTGCACAGGCACTGTCACTGCTGCATGTTTCCCTTGATGTGATATGGAGTGAGTATTGATGAATGCACTGGAGATGATGTTTTGGAAGCTGGGTTGTTCAAATGTTGTCTGATCCTGAGTTGCATTAATGTTGCTGTTTTTCAGAGCAAGTAAATCCAACCTGGGTATATCCCTCTGTCCTCTTGGGTTGTAGGGTAACCAATCTGCAAAGATATGTATTATACACAAATATTAGTAATAATGGTAGAATTAAAGACAAATTGTTGGGTAAATGGCCACAAATGCAAGTAATGTGACATTTTATTGTGGCAACGTTTTTCTCTCCAGGAGCTTTGTCAAGCTGTTACACACCTTGTGAATCCTTGTGATGTTTTTAACGGCTTAACAAAGCTCATGGAGAGCGAAACATTGCCACAAACTAACACATTAGTTGCATGTGTCCATCTACCTACCCACATACAAAACATCTTGAGAAACATTGATCTCCCTCATTCACTACATTGTTTCCTATTTGCATTTGTATTTGATGAAAGTTTTTCTTTCTCGGGCCACCCTGCCTTGGTGAGAAATGGCCGATATTTTAATTAATAATAAAAAAAAATTGCATTTGCAGGTTCTGAGTTCCAGGTACTCAGCTGCAACCCCAATGGAAATAAGTCACTCTGTCTCACTTTTTTGGGTTATACCAGGTTCTCTACACATATGCTGCTATGTATGATAATTCTATGTAACTGTATTTGTGTATACCTGAGTAAACTTACTTACTTACTTACTTATTCTTAACCTTTATTTAATCTTGCATTTTTATCATACCTAATGCTGAAACCATTTACAGTATGGAGTCTACTTCCATCATTTTACTCTCATTAGGTTTGTATACCTGGAGAGAGTTCCGGGGGTTAACGCCCCCGCGACCCGCTCTGTGACTAGGCCTCATGGTGGATCAGGGCTTGATCAACCAGGCTGTTACTGCTGGCCACACATAATCCAACATACAAACAACAGCCCAACTGGTCAGGTACTGACTTTAGGTGCCTGTCCAGTGCTTGTATTACATAGAAACATGTCAATACTTATGGGTATATCCCATTTCATCCCTGGAAGACAAAACATCTCAATAAAATGCTATAAACTGCATACTGTTTTACTAACATACCATTAGTCTTATCTGAGCAACTGGAGTCCACCCAAATCTTAACATTCTGGTCCCTCCCATGATGACACCTGGCTGTGACCTCGGCACTACAGGCAAGCACTGCTTTACAGTGCTTTGCTTTACGGAGTATCACTAATGCAGCATGTTTTAATTATACCCATTCTTCATTTATTCAGACTTACTACAAAAAAATATATTCACCACTCACTGTAAGCTAAGGACAAAAATATTTGAAAGCAATGTATGTACTTTATGTGCATTTTTTAGGCCTAACTCTAATGCTCACTTAATAAATGACAGTGTAAACATATTGTAAGGCTTTTATATGTCTATGATTCACTTTACAGTGATTTTTGCTTTACAGCAGTAGCCCAGAACCTAACCTGCTGTACAAGCAGTACCCGCTTGTACTCATGAGAATCTGGTACATCATGACAGTAACTTTTATGATTGTATTGTCCTCTCTAGTGTTGCTAGGTACAACTACAGAGAGCATAAATGCAGTATCTATCATATAATATACTGTATACTTTTTAATTATTAACCAGGGAAACTCACCTGACTCAAGTGTGGAAATCTCAGATAAAAAATTTGTTATTTGCTTCCTCTTGTGACTTGTGAACCTGTTTTTTCCTTTTTCACTTTTTGAGGATATGTGCTCCTGTATCACTGGGTGATGAATATCTTTTTCGTTCAAATTTGAACCTGCTTTATGGGTGGTTTTCTTTGGGATTGTGCTCTGACTTTTTGAAAGGGCACTGATGGAAGAAGCTTTCAATTTACCTCTATGTCTAACATATCCATGACTATTAGTAACATGTGCAGATTTGCTTATCCTACTTAGTGTAGTTTTTTTTTTTTTGCTACCTTGTGATGGTGCACTGCTCATTTCATGGCAGTATTCTGTGGACATTTCATCATAAATGGAGCACCTGGTTAGATCACTCAGCTTATAAATAATCTTGTCACTTATTACATCCTGTGGCTTTTCAAAATGGTCTGATGGTTCGTCAGCCAGACGGCACCTCCTCCTAATTTCCAAGCTATGGATTCTCTGCATTATATTCACACCACACACTGCCCTCAGACATGACATCTCCACTGCCTCCAGCCTTCTCCTTGTTGCAACATTCACCACCCATGCTTCATACCCATATAAGAGCATTGGTATAACTGTACTCTCATACATTCCCCTCTTTGCTTTCATGAATAAAGTTACAGTGTGCAACTCTCAAAATCACTTAATTTTTTTTACTTAACCACTCCCTGCTTAATGCTCAGGCAGTTACCACAACCGTCTCACATTACACACTCAGGCACTCACCACAACCCTCTCACATCACACACACACACTCAGGCACTCACCTCAACCCTCTCACATTACACACTCAGGCACTCACCACAACCCTCTCATGCCACACACACACACACTCAGGCACTCACCACAACCCTCTCGCACACCACACACACTCAAGCACTTACCACAACCCTCTCACACTATACTCAGGCACTCACCACAACTCTCTAACACTACACACTCACCACAACCCTCTCACACCACACACTCACTCACCACAACCATCTCACACAACACACTCACTCACCACAACCCTCTCACACCACACACTCACTCACCACAACCATCTCACACTACACACTCACTCACCACAACCCTCTCACACCACACACTCACTCACCACAACCCTCTCACCACAACATGTCAAGTGATGTGTCTAATATAACTGGACACACTGACAGAATTTAAGAGGGGTCAAGAGAATGAAAGGTTATGAGAGATGGGAAGAAAGAATGGATGAAGGAAAGAGAAAATGGGAGAAGGGAAAAAGAGAGGGAGGGATACAAAAAATGGGGTGTGAAGTACTGTACATTCTTTTTTCTTTCATTATTAAAAAGATAAATTAGATATGGAACAATGTTGAGAATGCACTTCCAATGATATTGTCTACAGGAAAACAGGAACAGTTCCCAACACTAGCCATGAATAAACAGTCACAATACTGTGGCTGCAACAATAAACAATACACTGAGGTACTAGTTATGAATAATTATCAGATATCTCAATTGTTAGCTAAAACCCTCGGTATTCATTCCCCAGTGATGAACAAAATATTTACAATTTCAAATTTAAAGTACACCGACAGGTGTAAATTTTTCTGTATATATAACCTGAGAGCTGCATCCCTATTTCAGGGATTAATATTTGTTGTGTTAGGAACAGGTTAACTGCATCCTTAATTACCTACATTCAGTCAATAGGCTTATATCTAACAAACTAAGCTATAAAAGTTTGGAAGTTGAATACAAAAAAAAATGTAGTAAGGAAAATGAATAATGACTGATGAGAGAGGTGTGTGAGAAGAACAGTATACATACTCAAGAATAATGACTGATGAGAGAGGTGTGTGAGAAGAACAGTATGCATACTCAAGAAAAATGACTGATGAGAGAGGTGTGTGAGAAGAACAGTATACATACTCAAGAAAAATGACTGATGAGAGAGGTGTGTGAGAAGAACAGTATACATACTCAAGAATAATGACTGATGAGAGAGGTGTGTGAGAACAGTATACATACTCAAGAAAAATGACTGATGAGAGAGGTGTGTGAGAAGAACAGTATACATACTCAAGAAAAATGACTGATGAGAGAGGTGTGTGAGAAGAACAGTATACATACTCAAGAATAATGACTGATGAGAGAGGTGTGTGAGAAGAAGAGTATACATACTCAAGAATAATGACTGATGAGAGAGGTGTGTGAGAAGAACAGTATACATACTCAAGAATAAGCATTTAGCATGCTACTGTACTTGTGTAAACTTCACATAATTGGTCTGTTTTCCCATATATGTATAAAAGCTTAATATTTCATAGATGTATCCAAATAAACTAAATGTTTTTTACTGTAATATCATATTATTGCACAGGTGCTTGTTGTTCAATCAGCTTTTAAGGTGCAGTTTAAATATGATGAGTATTGAGAACTGGGTGGAAATAATGCCAATTGCAACACTGTGGTATCATAATGTATTATTGCTAACTGCAACACTGTCATATCATAAAGTATCTTTATTAATTAGAACAATATTGTATCACTGTAGTGCTACCTTGTAGCCAAAATCATGGATAGATTTTTTGTACTTTTGAGAAATGTTTTCCAATAACTGTAATTATTGTTGTTATTATTACTACAGTATTATTATAACCATATTAATATTTTTTTTATATTCTTAAAATTATTAGAGTAAATGCTTAATTTAATGGACTAATACAGGGAGCAGGTGGCTGGTAATGCAAATAGTTTAGTTTGAGAGATGATTCTTTGTTGCCATGGACACGGGGGTCGTCCCACAGCTACTAAAAACAACAGACATAGCCCCACTCCACAAAGGGGGCAGTAAAGCAATAGCAAAGAACTACAGACCGATAGCACTAACATCCCATATCATAAAAATCTTTGAAAGGGTCCTAAGAAGCAAGATTGCCACCCATCTAGAAACCCATCAATTACACAACCCAGGGCAACATGAGTTTAGAACAGGTCGCTCCTGTCTGTCTCAACTATTGGATCACTACAACAAGGTCCTAGATGCACTAGAAGACAAAAAGAATGCAGATGTAATATATACAGACTTTGCAAAAGCTTTTGACAAGTGTGACCATGGCGTAATAGCGCCCCAAAATGCGTACTAAAGGTTTTAAACGGGAAAATTTTTGACCGTTGGTTTTTTAAATTTTCCTCACAAAAGAACACAAAGAGTAGTGTCAACAGGGGAAAGGGCCGGGGGCGCTCCCCGGGGGTAAAAAGCTCTTTTCCCCCAAGGCCGTACTTGCCCCCAAATCTTTTTCCTATCCTAAATATCTGACACGACAAGGTTTGTCGGGCCACAGCACCATGTTTCCCTTTTGCAGATGCCCCCGAATCTGCATGGCAGTTTTCTTCCTTTGCGGGACACGGGAAAAGGCTCCGGGGGGAAACTTCAAAAAAACCTTTCAGGGGCTCCAAAAAGAAAAAAATATAAATTTTCAATGATGGGAAATTTAAAATTATTTCAGATATGGTAAACACGGGGAAAATTTTAAAATTTTTATCAGAGTAAAAAACCCAAAATTCGGGCCAAAAAATTTAGAGCGTAACACCAAGTCAAAGCCCTGGGGGGTGTCTTGTGGAGGATCTAAACCCTTCAGGACCTTAACATTTTTATCATCGCATCTGCTAAAAAAATGACGGGGGGATAATGGGGAACCTTCAAAACTGGGGGGTTTCCCAAACCCCATGATGACCTCTTCAGGTCATTGTTCTATTTAGGTTGGAATATTTGCACAAAAACAGCCCCCTTTCAAGGCAGGTGAAACTGCTGCCCTAAAAAATGTACAAAAACCCTTTCCCACAGCGGCTTTAACGGAGATAAAAGCCTCAATTACTGGGAGCGCTTAAAATTTCCCTAAAACCTGTTTTCCCCTGGAAGCGGGGGGGGGGGGAAATTACATGATTTATACCCCTGGAAAACCCCTAGAGGGATAGTCCCCAAACTTCCCCCGAAAATCACCCATCGAAAGAAAAAAAGGATTTGGCAGAGATGAAACCCATCCCCCCAATAAAAAAGCGGGGGTTTGTACTGCATTTTAAAACCTTTTCCCAAAAAGTTTCGGGGGCCCCAAAGACTGTTCAACTGCCCCCCAGCTATAAAAGGGGGAAAATTCCCAATTTGACCTCGGCAGTTTCAAGCTGGCCCCGGGGAAAAAGCCCTAAAGTCGGTAGTGCCCCACCCGGGGCCCTTTTTTTTGGCTCGTACATTGGTTTGCATGCAGCCAGCAGTAACACCCGGGTTTGGATCGGCCTGATTCCCCCAGGAGGCCGGGTCACAGACTGGGCCCCACGGGGGATTGACCCCCAAAAACTCTTTTCCAGGTAAACCCCTGGGTTTAACAAAACGGGAAAATTCTGAAACCCAATGGTTTGGGTTAGTACTGTAGTTTCCTTATAAAATGAGCGGATTTTGCCCGGGTTTTCTAAAGTTTGAAAAACCGGGGATTTGGGTTTATGTTAAAAATTGCTTGAATTTTTTTAAAATATATCAAATTTTATTTTTAAATGAGGAAAACTATTAGTGATTTTTTTTTTAAAAATTTAAAAAGCAACCTGTTTTTTTGGTAACCAGTGGAGGATAAAGTACGGAAAGATGGAATGTGGGATTTTTTTCGGGTGTAGTTTGTGAATTATTTGGGGAGTTTTTGTCTGTAATATTGTGATAGTATAGTAAACCCCGGGGGCTCAAAAGAAGTGGGGGAATAAGGCCCTTTCAAACCCAGTGTATAATTCATTTTTTAAGGTAAAGGGATTGTTTTTCAGGGCCCCAAGTGGCTTCACTGTGTACCCAAATATGACTCTCTCTCTCTCCCCCCAAACTTTGGTTCGTTTTCATAATGTTTTGAAATTTTTATGTAATTCCCTTTTCAAATTTAAATAAGAATTTTTTTTGGCGTCTAAGCAATTATTCCAAATAAAAAAATTTAAAAGGGTTTAGAATAACCCCAGTCTTGACCCAGTGAATCATTTTCCCCGTTGTTTAAACAGTTGTTTTGGATGTTTGTGAAATTTACCTCTTAAAAAGGCACTTTGTTTGCATGGAAAAGACATTTTTTGGTGGGGGGTTTTTAGATTTGCCTTTATGGAATTTATTTTTGTGCTAAATCTAGTAGGGGACAGGATTTCAGAATAATTGTTTTTTTTTTTTGGGAATCCCTTTAAAATTTGCAGCCACTTTTTTTTCTTGTGTTGTGATTTTTGGGGGCCCTTTTGGAAAAAGGGAAATTTTTAAATGAATTGTTTTTCCTCTTATCAGGGGGTTTTTTAAACTTTTTTTTGGCACTGTTAAACTCCTTGATTACCCTTATTGAATCGGGAAGTTATTCCCTCTCCTTTATAAATAAAAATGAAAAAAAAATCTATATTTTAATTTTTTTTTGGGAAAAAACATAATTTTTTTTATTTTAAACGGGCCCTTTGGTGCTTTTTTCCCCCTTTTCCTACCCCTCCCCTTTCCCAAAAATTAAAAGGGGGAAAACCCCCACGGGGGCAAGGAGGGTGGGGGGTAATAGTCACCCAGGTTAAAACCCACGGTTCTTATAAAGGGTTTAAACTCCCCCTTTCCCCCCCCCACCACATGCCTAAGTAATTCGGTGAATTTTCACTGTATTTTTTTTTCCCTAAAGGGTTTGATCTACTTTACCATTTTTTTTTTTTCCCCAATAATTACCCCCCTTTGGAAATCAAAGTCTGGTTTTTTTTTTTCCCCCCTACCCCCACCCCAAACAGAATTTTGGGGGCGGGGCTTGTGGTGAATTGGGTTTTTGGTCATCCCGTGGATCTTTAGATGGCCATTTCCCCCTTTAAGTCCTCCCTCACTGCCCATGCATACCCCTCCCCTAAAAAAACCTCCCTTTCCCCATTTTTAGAATTTTTGGGTTCTTTTCCCCTTTAAGGGTTTGGAGGGATTTTTCAGTATGAATTCGTGCATTAACAAGCCCAAAATGAAAGGGAAAAAAAGATTATTCGAAATTATAACAAATTTATATCGGGTGAGATGGGGGTTGGTTTTGTCTACGTTTTTTGGGAAAGGTTTTGGTTTTTTCCAAAATTTAACTTCACATTAAAGCATGTTAATAAAAAAAATTGTCCCGTAAAACAATTGAAAAATACCCATTCGGGCTAAATTTACCTTCAGACTTTAAATAAAAGTTGAAGTTTTAGGAAAATTTTAACCCAAAAATTAGAAATAAAAGAAAAAACATTTTCCTGTAATGATTTTGAGTTAAATATAGAAACCCCAAGTTTTTTTTATATACAGGTAGTACATATATTTTAGGTTGGGGAGCATTTCAATGATGGTACCAACATATAAAATGTCACATGTTTACCGGGGTTACCATCTTGACTTAAAAAATATTAAAAACAAAAACAAGACACAATGTGTGTTATTGTATTCAAATTTTAATGTTGTTATCCCCTTTCCAGGGACTTACTTCATGCGAAAATAACAAGATTGGTTTTATGGGTTTTGAGAAAGGGTTTGAGGGTAAAAAAAAATGGAAACCATGAAGTCCCTATGAGAAGTCAGCCCAGTAAAAGATGTCAGGTGACGTTTCTCAGATAAATTGGGAGAATAATAAGCCTTACCCAAAAACTTTTTGATTGTAATTTCCTTGGGGTTTTGATTAATGGCATCGGGCTGTGGTGTTTACTACAGATTCCCAAGCAAATCTGCTGTAAATCCAAAATTTATCATCAAAGAAAAATGACCAATGCTGCCCGATTTTGTTTTGAATTAGAGCCAAAATTGGTTTATTCACGGGCTTAACCCTTTTAGTGAGGGGTTTTTTTCCCCAAAACCTTTAAAAAAGCGAACCCAAATTCATGTATACTCGCTTTTATACTCATTTATTGTTATTTTCATGGGGGGGTGTAACCCATAGGGATTGTACAAGGGATCTTTTTTGAGGGGGGGGGGTTCCCTTCATGCCCCAAATTTAGGGGGAAATGGAATAAAAAACCAGTTCCCAAACAAGAGGCCCTCACCGCATCAGGGAAAAAACCCCCCTTGATGGGTGAGATATCGTGTGGACTATTATTTTCCCCCTCAAAACCCCCCCTTTCCCCCCCTCTTAAAAAAATTCCCCTTTTTTTTTTACAAAACAATTTTACAGGCTAGATATAAATTATTCTAAAATTTATTTCAAAACCCAGCCCCATCTAAGGTTACTACCAAATCCACAGAAGGCCCCCCCACAACAGTTTAACTAACCCTTCTTTAATTTTAGGTGAAGAGGGGCAGCAGGCATAAGGAAATTTTGCCTGTTTTCCCTCTACCGTTTCAGGGATCAACCCAAAATTTAAAAACTCAGTATGTGAGCTGTTTTTCTATGTGTGACTTTTATAAAATTTTGCTGGTGGACAAAACTTTCTTAAAATAAGTGAAAAAAAAATTGTTTCATCTTTTTATATTGAAAGAAGAAAAAAAAGATTTTTTATTAATGGGTAATTTAATTTAAATAAAAATTTTGGCTTACCTTAGAGGTAAACCTTTCCCCTCCGACTTACGGGCCAAACTTGGTTTCCCACCAACGGGGTCGGGAAGTCAAAAAAGGACGGGAAGTCGAACCCCTTTTAAAAAATTTCCGACATTTTGGGGGAGGGGATAAAGTCCAAAAGGGTTTCCCTTATTTAAAATACCCCACATAATACTGTAATGTTTAAAGTAAATAATTTTTTTTTCTTTTTCCCTAATTTACTTCTATTGGGTTTTTTTTTTTAATTTTTTTTGTACTGTATAAATGTTAATTGGTAGCAAGGGTCACCCCGATCCATAAAGGGGGACCCCCCAGAGTTTAAAAAAAACTATAGGCTAATATCCCCCCTTACAAACCCCCTCTCAAAAATCTTCGAAAAATTAATTCATAAAAGAAATTTTTCCTACCCCATTCCCAAAACCACTCAAAACCCCGGGGAAAATTTTAAATTTTAGGCCTTTAAAAAAAAATATTTTAAAGATGCTATTTAACCTGCTAAAAACATATATCCTGCAATAGAGAAAAAAAAATTTCCCCCCGGGGGTTTCATTGACT